GAGAGAGAGAGAGAGAGAGAGAGAGAGAGAGAGAGAGAGAGAGGTGATGAAGATGATGGATGGACGGATGGGGTGTTGATCAAAACTGAGGAGCAGATCTATGGAGGACATACTAATGAGGTGAAAGGATTGAATAAGTTGTGGAGGGAGATGAATTTGAGGATGACCGTACTGGAAAGGGACTTGGTGGGTGTTCGAGAATGTGCCCTACTCCACAGCGCGCCGTGTATTTAGCGTTAGTCGTTGAATGCGAGGAACGGTGACCTGGGGGGAAGGGAGCTTAATTATGGGGGCGGCGGTTTTGGGGTTGGAGTGGGGGGCAGGGGGGCGGCGGGGGTAATTAGTGGGTGAATGGTTCGTGGGCCAACTTATGGAAGCATGCATGGATGATGAATAGATGACGAAACTTCATCACTTATTCATTCAGATCTTAATGGGTTCCGCTTCAACGATGGAAGTGTGATAGTTCGATGAATAGGTGATGAAGTTTCGGTGAATAGGTGTGAAAAAGAGGACAGGCGGACATAGGGTTGCTGATAGCACTCGTTCAAGGATTTTACGGAGGTCGGTTAATTGATACTTAGTGGCTGGGAGGGAGGGAGGGAGGTGAGGGAGGGAGGTGAGGGAGGGAGAGGTGAGGGAGGGAGGTGAGGGAGGGAGAGATGGAGTAGGTAAGTGGCTGAGTGTGAGGGAGGGATGAACGGAAAGTTTGGTCCGATGGATAATCTTGTCGTTCTTTTTTTTTTCACTTTTTTTGGTTCTTAAAGAAAAAAGAACTTTTTGGTATGAACTACGGAGAGGATCGATTGGTAAATCCTCTTTAAAATTATATCTGCGAGGGATATAGGACAAATAGGAAATCGAGGAGAAAGAAGTTCCAGAATTTGAAATAGAAAATCGAACAGACAGGATTGAAAAATCGGAAATTTCCTAGGCTACCAGAGTGGCCCGGGGTCAGTTGCCTGGCTGGGCCAAAAAAAACAAAAAAATAAAAAAGTAAATTTTTTCTGAACTTTATTTTTTAATTTTAAATTTCGTCGTGGCCCTGAGGTAAAAGTTGTCCAGTTTATTTTTCTGCATAACATGATTTTTTTTCGTTTTTTTTTTTTGTTTTTTTGGTAGGACCTTCCCCGGGCCTTGCACGGCCGGGCCGTCCGGGAAAATAGGGTACCCGGGCCGCCCGGGTGGTAGTCTAGGAAATTTCCCCCCCCAAAAAATAAATAAATAAATAAAAATAAATCGGAAATTGAAAAAACCCAACGAAACCGCTTCGAGAATTGGAATCTGAAAATCCAAACAAGAAAAGAAAAGCACATCACGATCGGGAAAGAGAGAGAAAAAAAAAAAAGAAGTCCACGAAAGGAAGCACATCAATAGTCGGGGATGCCAGCTCCTTGCTCCTTGGTTTCGACGACGGAGATGCCATAGCTAAAGTTGTGTAATTGTGCTTCATTGCTGTATTTTAAATGGATTTTTCGAGATCGTTTTCACATACGTTTACTGCGCAAGCCGCGGCGCGGCTATATGTCGGGCGTCTGTCGGTCTTGACTTTCTCTCTGCTATTTCTATCACTCCTAATTGCATGTTCTAGTGCTTGTTTGTATTCCGTTTGTGAAAAGATAAGACAGAAAAACCGTGGAGAGGGGCGACGACACCTGTGTCGTCGTCCTTAACGATGCTCACGTCACGAAAAAAATCTTAATGAAATATGAAGAAGGTGGGAAGGATTTGTTAAATCATTTAAATTACTGCAATAATAATAATAATAATAATAATAATAATAATAATAATAAGAAAGGAGAAAAAATAATACAGTAATAAGAATAAGAATAATATAAATGATAGCTAAAAAAAATAAAAAAAAATAAAAATAAAAAATAAAAATAAAAGGATGAATTAGTATTTGAAGGACTCAAGTGAATATGTATCCTTCGCTTATCCATGTTTCTTCACAACGCTCTAACGGCTTCCCCCGAACATAACGCACCCTGAGAATGAATGTAATAGAAGCTATATTTCCGGTCAGGTACTGCCAAAATGAGGGGTGCGTTATGTGCGGGGGAAGACGGTAGACGGTAGTTACGAAAACGAGTTTTTTTTTTTTTTTCCCCTTAAGCATATTCAAGACAAGGAATTTGGAAATTTTGAAGAAATACTGTAATGATAAGTGAGGTGACACGTGGGTGGGGTGTAATTGACCTCAATTACCGCACGATTCAGAAAGAAGGTCCTGGTGCGACGATGATGCTAGACATGTATGTATTATGGATATATATTACCTTAACACACTGATGATTTGTCCCGCATTTCTTTCTTGAGATTTCGCGCCTTTTTAACTGGTTTCATCCGAAAAAGGCGCGAATATCAATAAAGAAATGCGGGAAAACCGCGGGGATAGAACAAACTCCCGCCGTTTCTTCTCGCCCCATACTCCCTCACGAAGCCTTGTTAGTTCCACGCGCCTCGTTCCCGCGCTTTCTTCCCGCGCTTTCTTCCCGCGCTTTTCATGTACTTGTTGCGGGCTTGTCTGTGGCACGTGGTGGACTATCGGAAACGCGCGACAGTACAGCTCATCTGCGATGTATCCATCCACCCACCCGTCCTCCTACTCGTTCGATCGAGAGCCGTTGAATTGATTGCACGTGTAAGCGATCACATTTGATCAGATCTGATCCGTTGAATGTGGTCAATGTGGTCATTGCCTTTGCTACTGCTGCGTCCGTAAGAAAGCGTCTAATAGAGCACGTTCAGTGTATAGATGTATCAAATCTCGCTCCATGCGATGATTAAAAATCCAATGATGTCGTTAATTATCGGAATCCATCATACTCATATTCAATCACATAGCGCATCATCCATGCGACGATATCCAATCAAGTTGTTAATTAGCCGAAGTCGTCAAAAAAAGAAAAAAAAAGAAAAAAGAAAAAAAAGAAAAAAAAGAAAAAAAGAAAAAAATTGAGTTAAAGGCGATTTCTTCCCCACCAATTTAGGTTTACGCTACGCTGTCAGAGTGGGGACCACTTGCCCGGGCGGTGTGAATGACGATTGATTGGGAATCTGATTAGTATCTATCCCCGAACCTAATCCATACCTCACATGCACCTAACACGTACCTAACACGTACCTAACACTTACCTAACACGTACCTAACACGTACCTGATCTAATCAGAAATCGACGAGAATGAATCCTTACCTAATCCGTACCTGATCTAATCAGAAATAGTCAGAATGACTCTCTTGTCAATTCGAAATCTGATCAGTGCGAGAATCCTTACCTAATCCGTGTACCTAACCCGTACCTATAACCTTAATCTGTACCTACTCCATACCTGATCTGATTAGATATCAGTGATAATGCATCTGTACCTAATCCCTAGCTGATCTGATAAGAAATCAATTAGAATGAGAACGAATCCTTACATACTGGGTTGGGAATCTAATCAATTTATGAATTCCTATCTAACACGCATACCGGATCTGATCAGAAGTTCATGAGAATGAATCGCTCCCTAATCATTACCTAATCCCTTCCTAATCCTTGCCTAATCCGTAACTCATCTGATGAGAAATCGATGATAATGAATCCTTTCCTAGTCCGTACCTGATCCGTACCTGATCTGATCAGAATTCAATCAGAACGAGTCCTTACCTTATCAATTCGAAATCTAATTAGCATGAATACGCACGCAATTCATGTACCTTACCCTTACCTAATCTGTACCTAGCCCATACCTGCTCTGATCAGAAATCAATGAGACTGAATCCTTGCCTAATCCCTTACCTCATCCTTATCTAATCCCTTACCTAATCCCTTACCTAATCCCTCACCTAATCCCTTACCTAATCCCTTACGTAATCCCTTCGTGATCCTTGCCTAATCCACCTAATCCTTACACTAATCCCTTACCTAATCCCTTACCTAATCCTTACCTTAAGCCGTTCACACTACTACTCGGGATATCCGTGTGTCTGATCTATCATATCGATTGATGGGGACCTTTTTTTTTGTTAAGTATTTATTCACATCTCGAGTTACCGAAGCTGGTATTCGGTCTGTGGATTAACATTATTGCGTTTTTTTTTTTGTCCCGTTTGTTTGTTCTCCATGCATGCACAGGAAAGGAAAAACGACCACCAATCTTGGTGGGATTATTCACTTGAAATTTTGCGTGAAGTCTTTTCCTATCAAAATGCGACTTGCTTGCTTCCAATCAAGGATTGCAAGGAGTCAATCATGTTAGTTGTTACTAATCAATCAATCGGAACGATGATTACTAATCAATCAATCGGAACGATCGTTACTAATCAATCAACCAATCGTAATAATCGTTAATAATCAATCCTAATAATCGTTAATAATCGTTAATAATCGTTAATAATGGTTACTAATCAATCCTAATAATCGTTAATAATGGTTACTAATCAATCCTTATTATCGTTAATAATGGTTACTAATCAATCAACCGGAGTGATCGTTACTAGGTAGTCAATCAATCATAGTAATCCAATGACTAACTAGGCTACCAGCCGGGCCGCCCGGGTCATCTCGTTTACCCGGGCGGCCCGGCCGTGCAAGGGCCAAAGTAGGTCCCAGCAAAAAAAAAAACCGAAATGTTCTGCAGAAAAGTAAAAAGGAACAACTTTTGCCTCAGAGTCACATCGAAAGTATCCGACCGCATTTACGGTCATTCCTGGATCTATCTGACCGCGATCGCGTCCATAAAAAATAAGTTAGGAAGTCCTACCGTCTTCCCCCGAACACAACGCACCCTCATCTTGGCTGTACCGGACCGGAAATATAGCTTGCATACGTTCAATTTCAGGCTGCGCTATGTTCGGGGGAAGACGGTAGTGTGAAAATGCCCTGAAGCATTGGAAGATCGAGATTTAGCAACTGGTGGAGATATGTTATAAATAAAAAGATTATTAAGTGAACTAAAAATCTTCAAAATACTTACTATGCATGAAAAAGCCGTAAAGCATGCAAAGTGTTAGCTTGTTTGGGCCCTCTTGACGAAAAAAAAGAAGCTCAAAAGGCCCAAAGAGAAAAAGAAAAGGTTAATGCCTCCAAAAAGAATAAAGGATAGAATCCTACGTCGTATTAAAATAGTAGCCACCAGTTATTTTCAGCAAACTCAGATAAAGCCTCAGTGGATGCGCACCGTCAGGTATCAAACCCGAAACGACCCCCTTCCCTTTCCACCCCCCCCCYTCCMCCCCCCCTCCAYMCCCCCCCCCMCCCCCTTCAAAACAAGAGAAGGGAGCTACACTCCTTAGTATCGTTTATGTCCAACAAGATTCGAACCTTTGTTTGTTATTAACTTTTTTTATCCGTTCTAGTAGCAATACGTAGTGTTCAATCACCTGAACGAACACTACGGAAGAAGTCAAGGAAAGACACTGATGATGACGTGGACGTTTCTCGTCCGTTGGTGTTTTGTCGGGGTGATCGCAGATTCATTTTGTGTTGCTCATAAGCCGTCAGGGGAAGGTGCGCCTCACCAAATGGTATTCCCCTTACTCACAGAAAGAGAGAACGAAGGTGCGAGAGCATCCCCTTCTCCCCCCTTACCTACCCCTCTTGCTTACTCCCTTGCCTACCCACTTACCTACTCCTTTTCACGTTCTACCTTCCCCCCCCCCTTCCCTCCCTTTTTCCCTTTCTTCCCCCCTGCCAACCCCCCTTTCCTCTTCTCCCCCCTTACTTGCCCTGGTTTACCCTTCTCCCACCTTTACCCACCCGCATCTACCCTTCTCCCGCCTTATCTACCCGCGTCTATCCTTCTCCCCCGATACCTACCTTGTACTTACCCCTTCCTTCCTTACCTATCGCCGTTTACCCTTCGCCCCCCTTCCTTAACCCACGTTACGTCTGTCCCCTCTTGGCCCCACACCCCCTCCCCGTCCCCTCCCATTGCCCCCTCCCCTCACCCTCTCTCCTCCCCTCTTCCCTTTCCAGCAGCCCGATTTACCTCCCCCCAACTCTGAACCAGCCAAAGAAATACTGTCATATGCCTCCTCTCTTTTGGGCCCTTAACCCTCCCCGAAAACCGTCCCACCCTCAATGTCTGCAACCCCACTCCCAAAGACATGCTCAACCCTGAAGACGATCTGAGGACGGCCTTGTCCTTCTCTTTCTCCCATCGTCACAGAAATCTACAGGGAAAGAAAAGAAAAACGCAAAAGGAGGAAACCAGTATCATGACAATGGCGCCCTTCTTCCCCCGAATACAACGTACGATCATTATGGCGGTATTTAGACTGAAAGATACCCCAAATATAGCTATAATCACCGGACGTTGTATTCGGGGGAAGCAGTTAGGACCGACCGGACGTTGTATTCGGGGGAAGCAGTTAGGACCGACTATGACAAGTTGCTGATATAACTGTACGGCAACCACGCAACAACTGAACAACAACTGTACAACAACTGTACAACTAGAGAAGAGCTACACATCCACTATACATAACACTTGCTACTGCTGATATTGATTGTATGCTTACAGCGCGGTGAAGAATGGCTAGTGCATCTCTTCACACAAAATGGGCAGATATATTGGCCGCTCTTCATGGTGGTGGATGCATTTTGCCACCTTCTATGTGAAGATGCATTTGCTACTTTTCATGTTCCGGCAGATGCGCGATGAGGGCCATGAACTTTGGCTGGTGAACAAGGTGTAGACGAATTTCTGCGCACGAACCGAAAGGGTCATTGCGCTGTGGAACTGTTAGTACATATATGATATATGATTGCAGATTCCCTGCTTCAACTAAGCCACCCTGGCTTGCAAAGAAGGGTTTGTATCTCCCTTAATACCCTTCATCCAGTAGTAATTGAACCTATCACTACCGGTAGCATGAACTCTATCCTAATCACGACACCTTTGTGTGTGCACCCCCTCGCACAGGGGCCATATCCACACAAGTAAGACTGTCACCAAAATTGTTTTTAGACTGCTCCTTAAACCACGAGTACGTTTCCCAATCAACAAAACAAAGTCGCAGCGTGCATGCGGCAACGACCTCTGGGAAGTACCGGGTTCGGTTTTGCTGGATATCCATCCATCCAGGCAAAAAAATTGGCGAGACCCGTTTTGCTGCCTAGATGGATATCCAGCGAAACGGCACCCCGGTACTTCTCGAAAGTTGCGGCCGCATGCACGCCACGACTTTGTTTTGTTGGCTAAGAAATGCACTGGTGGTTTAAACCCCACCCTTATATCCAGGACCAGTACGTCCGGGCCTAGGTAAAATTGGCCTTGCATGCGAGGCCCATGCACACCGCAACTTTGTTTTGTTGGCTAAGAAACGCACTGGTGGTTTAAACCCTACCCTTAAGTCCAGGACCAGTACGTCCGGGCCTAGGTCAAATTGGGGCCTCGCATGCGAGGCCCGTTCTGCGTAGATGGATATCCAACGAAACGGCACCCTGGTACCTCTCTAACGTTGCGGCCGCAACTTTGTTTCGTTGACTAAGAAACTTACTGGTGGTTTAAACCCCACCCTTACGTCCGGGCCTCTTTTTGCCGCACGCCACGTCATGCGGAACTGGCGGGGAGCATAGTGTGCCTGGGCGATACCAGCCTTTTTCGTCCTGACGCCACGTCCTGCTGAACTGGCGTGGAGCATAGTGTGCCTGGCGATACCAGCCCTTTTCGTCCTGTAGGTCGAGCCCCTAAGGATGTGATGGTTCAAGCTGCGTGTCGAACCATAATAGCTGGGAAACGTACCGGTTGTTTAAACAAGTCTGCAAGTCTGAGGCTTGGGCTCCCAGGCTTAATGTTTGGAATTCCTTTCCTCCGAGCAAATAGGGGCTTCACAGAAAAAAGCAAGGATTTTGGTCTCCGTTTGTGCCGCCATTCATCTTTGAGAAAACGGATGAGTCCTCGGCGGCACGGCACAGAACAGCACAGCAAAGCCGATCCTGAAAGAATGTTCACTAATTGAAAGACAGGAAACACCCTACTCTTCTGCCAATAAATTTTCTTTGAGGGAGCGAGCTCCCATCATTTCTCTGATCGCAGCAGCAGTGGGAAAAAAACTCGCAGTAAGGATGGGCTGCACACCTCTGTTGAGCATGAAAGTGAGCATAAGGGAAGGAGGAGCAGAGGAAGGAAGAGAAACGGAAAATCAAACTGAAAAGCGAAAAAAATAAAATAAAAAAAATCAGCAAAAGAGGGAAAATCGTGTCCAAGTTGCTTGCACTTAGATCGACAATGTTTCCATCCCAGTGCATGCATGCATGGGTGATTTGGACGTGGCAATGATCGTTAATGTTTAAACCACATCCGAGCCTCTTTTTGCAGAGGCGGATTCCCTCTACGTGCCAAGCTTTGCGCAACGCCAGCGCAGCATTTGTTTTTTTTGTTTTGGGTTCTCTTTTACCTGGTGCCGCCAGCCGTTTTGGTCTGGTAGCACTACTCATTGGAACTCGTCAGAATGACTCATTTTCAATTCTCAAGTTTGCCTGTGCGGTGTGCTTGCGTTTTTTTTTTTTTTTTTCCCCCTTTAAGGCTGAGAGCTGTGTGCTTGCGGTTTAACTCTCTGAGTGAGATGAGGAGAAGAGAACCAAAAAAGAAAATAAAAAATGGCGATGCGAGCAAAGGTATTCGTGCTAGTGAGTGGAGTCCTGTACCTTAAGTGCGGAGCGCCCCCTTTTTCTTGCCTTCCCGCTACCCTGCTCCCCTTTCGATGGGTCCCGGCCCCCCCCCGCCCCTTCTTTTTGCCTCCTTGCCTCTTACAAAAAAAGAATAAAGGAGGGGGTATGACTAGATTCTTGGTGTATCTGGTGGGCATTAAACAGGTTGTAAGAGAGCTCAGTGGGACGATACTGAGCCGAGGAGCAAAGCTGTGCAATTTCATTGAGTGGAAAGGGTTGAAGGTTGTGTACAAGAGGTAATAACTAAACTATGAGTGCAAAAAGTGAAACGTGCACCGCTGCACTGCAGAAAATCAATAAGAGATTCCCTCCCCTCCCCCCCTCCCTCCTCCTCTATAGTAAGAGAATTGTGTTTTGTCACTTTTGTGGTGTTTCGTGATCTCTCTTTCTGCTTCTTTTGTTCTCCTTCACATTCTCCTCAATCTCCACAGATTAAAAGAAACGGGTTTGTTCATGCTGTTTATATCTATTGCTTGGTCGTTCTGCAGAATCTGCACCTGTAGCTGTGAAACCGCCTCCACATCTGGACCTAAGACGGGACGTACCGACCTGACAAGGCCTGGTACCACATACTCTTTTTGTCGTTCTTGGGCAGTCCAAGATGGGAAGTTACAGGTGCTTCCGTTTTCACCCGAATAGAACGCTCTGGGAATTATTGCCGTATCTGGGCTGAAAGTTGAACCAAATACAGCTGTAATGACCGGGAATAGCAGTGCTTACCCATAGACGGTAGCATAGTCAATACTCTGGGGAAAAAGGACGCTCTTCTGTGTATTGGTGGTCTGGACCACCAGTGCTTCGGACTCAGTAAGGCCCAGCCTTTTCTTTTTCAGCTCATCATGAGAAGGGCCACAGGTGCACCACTTCTGGTCAATTGCTGTTGAGAGGTGTGGATGATGAGTGCACCACTTCTGGAACCCCTTCACGAATGTTTTTGAACGCCCAAGAAGAAATAATGCTGCACAATTTTTTCCTTTCCTTGTGTGCCAGGCCCTGGTTGGTAATTGCCAGAATCGTAGTTTTTGTCATGTAAGGGCTTATTGGGGGCTGCCATTATTGTGGAGTTGGATTGCTTTTAGCCTTTTACAGACTGGAATAAGTTTGGGATGGGAGGTCTAGAGGTACTTGTGGCTCAAACGTAGTAGGGGGGCACGGTCCTGCTCGTTCGACACCATTTTCACTAAAGACACTACTGGACACCACAGCCATATACATACATGTGCACACGCATCCACACACACACACACACACACACACACACACACACACACACACACACACACACA